CCCCCCACGCCTATATACTCGTCTCGTTCCCTAAAACGTCAGAATATGTTTTTACAGTCTGACGGGAAGCCGTAGATTTGTACAACAGGTCGAGAAGGATTCCGTGTGACGTTACTCAACCCTACGCCATCCTGCCGAGAAAGAACCCTTGCTCTTTCGCCAGGACTGATATACCCGGTTAGGGCATATTGGAGTCCGACACTATTCGCCATCGCATTCAAGAACGACAGTTTCGGAGAGAAAGCAATGGCAAGAAGAGATGAATCGACTCTGGGAGGCCCGTCTTCCTTTTCCTCTTTAACTGATTGGATTCGATGTCTTCCCCCGGAGCTAGTCCTACAGATATTAACCTATCTTCCATTCGAAGATTTGCTTGCCTTTGGGTCCACCAGCCGCTTGAACAATGAATACCATATTGTGAGCATGAAAAGATTGAGGCTAGGAGTTTTCGAGAAACGAGTGCACTCGATCATTTCCCTCCTCCAGGCCGGGTGGGCTAGCCCTGATCATCTGGGTAGTGGCTGGGTTGATCAAGAGGCCGAACGAAGCTATACAATTTCCGTCGTCCAGCAGCCAGTTAAGTCAACGAAACAATGGCCACTGCGCGGAAGCCCTTGCCATACAGTATACCCGAGAAACAGCGGTCCAAAGTTACGTGAAAAGCCACAATCGCAAGAACAAATGATCCGAATACAGAACAGAATAATCGCTAGTGTCCTACGACGCTACGGGCCGTCGCTACGGAATCTCGAATTCATGGCATATGACCTCAACACCCATGGCGCATCTGCCTTGGGCACCCGCTGTCAGCACACTCTCCGTCACCTTGCACTGCGCTTTGAACACCAACATATCCGAGATGGAGTTATGAGGCCAAGTACATGGCTTCACCCGGCCCCTGGCAACGAAGCATGGAATTTGCTTATCGGAATTGGGCGATTTAAGGATACTGGGCTTAACAGCCTTGAGACTTTGATTTTGGAGCGAGCAGGCATCACACCGTGGCAATTGATGATGCTTGTTAAAAAGAACCCTAATTTGACGACCTTGAAGCTGAGGACTTGTCGGGGTGCCCAGCCTGAGTTTTTGTACTGGCTAGGCGGCATCCGACATGGCTTGGATGATGAAATGGGGCAACTTCACGGGCCGACACCGGGTGCGAAGCTTGAAGTTCTCTCACTAGAGCATTGTCATCGACTGCTCGAATACCCCATCGATGATCGGAATAGTCTAAAGGACCAGGAATGTGACAAGGGCTTTGAATGGGTGAGGGGTTTATGCAACCTGCGGGTGAGTTGACAACCGGTTAACTCTGGTCGATTTCCTAAGATGATATAAGTCTGTCTACTAACACTTGTGGCAGTCACTCTCTTTCAGCGAAAGCGCGAACATCCCATCGGAGCTTGTTGATAGAGCAAACAAGCTGATTTGGAAAATCCCTGAGGTCACCCTGCCTTACTGCCTCCACGACGGGAACGCCGTCATTGCAGTCGATCCCAAGTGGACGTGAGCTGGCACTGGCAATGATGCCGCACTGCCTTGTGCTGGAATACTTATGAATTAACGAAGAACATATTGATCTTAATACACCATATAGCAAATTATTAGATGCAAAGACCCGGGCTTCAGTAGCCTTATATTATATTTCCCAGCTATTTCAAATTTGGAGTTGGTGATGACAGTGTTGTTGTTGTTGTATGAGCAAAATATCACCTTGCAGGATAAGAGATGCAGTGCCATCAAATTTCAATTCACTGTTCTAGGGACCCCTAATCTTGGTCAGGAGAATTCAACAAAAGCTGATGACTTTGTTGTCTGGGGACGCGTTTGTCTAGAGGAAGGTCTCACTGTGTTCAATGCTCCTGCCATCCTGTAACCTCAGCCCAGGTAAAGCCTCACTCAACACAATTACTCTACCACTTGAGAGATTTATCCCTCAGTCTTTACCCAGCAACTTGCACACTCTTCTTGCAGCCTTTATTGCCCTCAAATCTGTCTCAGACCCCGCTCGTCCATCCATTTCCCTTCCTCAGTGCACTTCTTATCCCGAAGTGTTACTCTACGTGATATCTTCAATTGTCGCTGTCACGCACTTCATTCATTCACGCACTGCCCTCCATGAGTAACTACAGGTCTCGCTCATTCCTTTGGGAAATGATCTTTCGCAAGTTGTTTCCAAAGCGCAGGTCTCTTTCAAGATCAACTGGTTCTGAGACAAGCTGGTGTGGTGTTGAGCCCTCTACAATTGATGACCATAAGGACGGATTTTACAAATACTCACAGGAAATACTGGAGCAAGAGAGGCGCGAAGAGATGAGACTACGATCATCAAACAGTACCGATGTTTCGTACGCATCGGCAGTAAGTTGATTCTGTAATCAAATATCTTGTTCCGGCCGCATGGTTAACGAGATAGCTCATGGGACCGACGGACAGACCTGCGCTTCCTTACACCGTGAGCTCGCCCGATTGGAATATATTCTCGTCTTTTGTCAAATCCCTGGAGGGGATCGATGCGGAAGCCTCCCGCGAGATCCTCAGCAGCGTTCTTTTGGTTTGGTCCAGGGTCTACTCAGTTTCCAAAGTTGTTGTGATGGCCTTCATGCATTACGGCGTGGAAGTAGGTAATCCAGACAATTTGCTCTAGTTGAAAATGCTGATGGTCTGGCTTTTGTTTACTAGCTTGATAATACCCCAGACAGCATATTGGCTCATATCAAACGTGCTGAGGAACTCGTTACCTCCAACTCGATCGCTGACCTTATTGACAACACAGAGAGCTTGTACTACGTTCTATATGCCCGGCTCATCATGGAGATTGCCGCTGCCAATCTATGTGCTTCATTTACCCTAGAATTCCGCCGCCTGGCGATCAAAAGCGGTTCTTTCATTCTTCCTGAGCCTGGCCAGCTGTGCAAAATGCTCTACATCTTCAAGCAGACCTTGGATGAGCCTAACGTTTGTGTTAACCTCAACAGAGAACTTGTCACAGAACACCAGAAGGACTATATCCGTCGTTCTGCGGAGAGAGCACATGATGGAAGTTTCATTTTGGATGATCTCATTGGATACCGTCCTCATGCATTCAGCATCATCAACGACAAATCCTCTGAGTTTTGCCAGGCGTGGAACAGAGAAGGCGTGCTGTACGAGATGCCACCAAAGGATGTTCTTGTGCTTCAGTCTGAAAAGTATCTTTGTTTTACCCCTAAACACGCGGTCCAACATGCAGCTCCAGCATTGAACCTTCCTTTCATTGAGCTACACACTATCCCCAAGGACGTCTGGGATCGCGAAATCATCCTTGACAATCGCCAGGCCACTCTAGCAAAGTTAGAAGGAAAAACGGTGGGAGAGCTACGCCGCAAAGACGGTCGACGCCGCTTAATCGACCTGGTCCGAGAAAGAAAGTGTATATGCCGGTCGGCCTGTATCTGCGCTCATGAGTGCACTTTAGACGTCGAGTGTCATTGCCCCTGCTCTGAGCGGATGTTGAGCCTTATGGTCGCGAAACGCAGAAACAGTGTCGGGCCTCTTCCATTCGGTTCCCGATGCAGTGCCCTTGCCAAATCGACCTTTCAGGGTATAGCATCCGTTCGGCCCGACGTGGATGATATGGAGCTTTCCGTGGAGGTGGATAGGGCTATCATTCTCCTCTGTGAAGAGATCCGCAAGCAGCGGTCTGCAGCTGCCATGACCAGCGGCACAATCATCTGAACGAAAATCGATGAGAGGGTTGGGGATAAGCCGGTTACGGGAGTATCGGAGTGTAGGGACAAGCGGCTCGGAGTGGGTGTGTTTTCCGTGGGGCCGCCATCAGTCGATTACAATCATACGGGTGAGATTGAGTCAGACCGTGGTGTTGCATCCACGATCAGGAGTCCATTTACGAATATGTTTCAGAATTCCATGTGCTTAAGGCAGTCTCTGAAGCCAGAATATTCCAATGATACATTCTCGTACACTTTGAAATAACTGAATGATCCACGAGGTGTAGAAGGCGCAGCCATCAACAATGCCCGTATCCGAAGCGGAGAAGAGGGTGGTCCGTGTACTCTGTACAAGTGAGCACAGGCTGACCAGGCACGCAAATGCCGCCCCGTAGTCCAAAAGCTACAGAGTAAAAATCAGACTATCCAACGAGAGATCGTATGCAGATTGTAGTCATTTCTGCGTCCATCACTGGCTCAACAAAGCGAGCGGTGATTCTAGTTCAAGGTTAAAAGAGCCGTCTCCCGTCGCCCAGTTTCCCCTAGGTAAAAAAAAAGGCCCCCCCAACACCGAACCTTCAAATCTCCCGGGTAAAGACTCAACCTCTCACTCCCTCCACCATTAAGCCGCCTCCAACCACATATTCGCTATTGTGGAGTGTGCGTTTCGTGGAGAAAGAGTCCGTGCTTCACACAGAGCCATCAAACAATACCTTTTTCTTGCGGGCATGGTGCCTAGGATCCCTGGGACCCCCTCCGCAGTATCCCCGTCCTCCTCGTCGCTGTCGCGGGCGTCAGCCTCATCCTCACTCCCACTCCACACACGGTGGACCAGGGCCCCCAAGAAGACCCTGGTGCGGCGCTACCATCGCGCCGTTTGGCCTTCCTACGGGATCACCACCCCCGTCCCCGACCGTTGCCCGCAGTTGCCCGTCCTTAGATCGCCCTTCTACTTTCAAACGGGCTACGCGCTGTGCGCCAAACGGACCCCGCGGCCCTTTCCACCGCCGTTCTTGTCTCCGCCATCCTCGTCATTCTCGGACCCGTTGACAACACACTATCACAGCCAGGATAAGAGATTATCCGTCAGAGGGGAGCTCGTTCGGGGTCTGAACAACGGCGATGACGCGGTGCTGGTTACGGAGAATTTGCTGGGGGTGAACGACGGGGTAGGAGCGTGGGCGACGAAGCCGAGAGGTCACGCAGCGTATGTGCTATGATCCATTCCAATCCTCTACTGTCTTGTGGCCGCCAATACTAACGGTTTTGGGTAGACTGTGGTCTAGGCTTATACTCCATTTCTGGGCCCTGGAAATCGAGCGAATATCCAATCCAGAAGCCACGGTTGACCCTATCGCGTACCTCCAGCAAGCCTACGAAGAAACGATAGAAGCTACAGCGGCCCCGAGCGAATGGTTTGGGACGACGACGTCGGTAACGGCCCTCCTGCACAAAAAGTTAAGCGGCGACGGCACGGAGAAGCCTTTATTATACGTGACGAATATAGGCGACTGCAAGGTCCTGGTAATCCGGCCCATCGAACAAAAGGTCATTTTCCGAACCCAGGAGCAATGGCACTGGTTCGATTGTCCGATGCAGCTGGGGACGAATAGCGTGGATACACCGCGCGAGAACGCCGCGCTGTCGCTGGTCGATCTGCATGAAGAGGATATTGTTCTCGCGCTCTCGGATGGGGTCCTTGATAACCTCTGGGAACATGAAATTCTATCTATCACCCTCGAGGGTCTCAAGAAGTGGGACCACGGACGGTACGACGATAAGGAGCTTGACTGGGCGCCGCCAGCTGTACTTGCGGAGGAAAAAATGGTATTCTTGGCTCGGGAATTACTGAAAGCCGCGCTGGCGGTGGCCCAAGATCCATTTGCTGAGAGTCCTTACATGGAGAAGGCGGTCGAAGAAGGCTTAGCCATCCAGGGTGGTAAGTATATACATGGACCTTTCCTTTTTATTAGATTGTTGACTAATCCTTTGAATAGGGAAAATGGACGATATCAGTGTGGTTGTTGGCTCCTGCAAGAGGAGACAGCGCGAAACACACCTGGACTCGACGGAGCCGTCATCTGATGATCGGCTGGCTGGCTGATCATGACTATGAACTTTACTTCGCCAAAACAACTTATAGAATTCGAACATAATGTGACACGATTTTTTAAAGGAATTGCATATGGATGGGTATATGGAAAGAGGGCATACTATAACCTGGCACTGATTGTGATTGTTTTTTTGTTTAATATGGGTGGGGTTTGCATTTGCATGGATTGGTGACTCGAACATTGTTACTGCTCAACTAGGGGGTTTCTCACGTACACTTTAATCAAAGAATACCCCTCATACATCATATATATTTTCCTTGCTTAGGCTTGCCAGTATGTTCAATATCTACGGATACAACTGTTATGTTGTAATTCACAGAGTGCACGGACCATATTGATATCAGAAGCATCTACCGCCCGGCAGAAAAAAAGATGAACCAAAAAAATTCCGATGAAGAGCAGTAGCAGCTCAACAACATCAAATCAACGAAACAGTCGAAAACAGCCAAAATGAGGGCCAAGCGATCCAAGAAATACCGCAAGCTTATGCATCAATATGAGCTGGCTTTCGGTTTCCGTGAGCCGTATCAAGTGCTCGGTATGCGCATTCTTCCTTTTCCATCTCCGCAATACGATGTTCTGAGGCGACGAAGACGATTGCTAACTGAATCAATTGCAGTTGACTCGAATTTACTTCGCGCAGTACATTCGTTCAAAATGGATTTAATACCCGCTTTGGAGAGAACACTACAGGGACAAGTCAAGCCATGTACGCTCCGCACCTCCGTGCGATCTCCGCTGTCAAGACTTTCATGAAACTAACCGAAGCTCTAGTATTAACGAAATGCTCCCTCGCATCAATAATGGCTGGCCAGCCTACGAACCCACGGACCAACAATACTGTCCGCCCAGAGTTCCTCCCCCCACCAACGACCCTCCCGCTCCGGCATTGCTCGCATAACGAAGACTCCTCACCCATCGATGAAGCAAGCTGCCTCCTCTCCCTCCTCTCGCCTCTGTCAGATGTCAAGCGGAACAAAGAGCATTACACCCTCGCCACAGCTGACCCTCCAGCGCCGAAGTCGAATTCGACACAACAAGATGCGGGGAAGAAGCGCAAACGGGATGGAGACGAGGCATTCCAGGCTTTGAAACGTGCCCAGGGTCTTCGGCGCGGCGCGCGCTCGATCCCAGGTGTGCCGATTGTATATGTGAAGCGATCTGTGATGATTCTGGAGCCGATGAGTGCGCCGTCTGAGGGTATCAGAGAGGGGGTGGAGCAGGATAAGTTCCGGGTTGGGCTGAATAACCCTGAGGCGCGGACTAGTCAGGGAAGTGGAGAAAAGAAGAAGAAGAGGGAGTTGAAGAAGGTTAAGGGCCCGAACCCATTGAGTGTAAAGAAGCCGAAGAAGAGGGCGGAGGACCGGCCTAGCTCAAAGGGGGAGAGGACAGGCGATGAGGGAGAGAAGCGAGATGATTCTGATAAGCTCGCGGAGGACGGGGAGGCTGCGCCGAAGGCGAAAAGGAGACGGCGGCATCATAAGGGTCCAAGACAGGGTGAAACTGGTGAAGACGGAGACGAGGGGGTGGCTACGGCTTTGGTTGAATCCGGCGATGACTAGCCGACTTATGAAAAGAACATTTTTGTTTTCCGTCTGGTATGGCGTTTTGGTTGGGTAAAGCAGAATCGTATACAGCACATATCATACATTCTTCAAACATACACAAATATCCTTTGAGTATGATAGACCATCTTTATCAAGCCGTATATACAGTGACAAAAAGTCTCTGGAAGATGAGAAGAGAAAAGCTAACCAATCGAACACCGAAACACCCGAAATATGCAACTAGTATACATAACCGCAGCTTCATATACCGAGAACTCTCTAAGCTCCCGCATATCAAATTCTCATTGTTTCTCTGCACCAGCAGAAGTAGCCGGTGTACTGCTGCCTGGAGCGCTGGCCGGGACACCAGACACAGCAGCTCTTTCATCAGCCCAGATCTTTTCAATGCGCCTCCTCTTCTCCCGCGCATCGTCGCGATTGCGCTTTGCCCGCTCGTACCGCTCACCCGCCAAACAGCGGTTAACCTCTCGCTTGATGTCGTTGCAGTTCCCTAAGGCTTTATGCAGGAAGCCCTGGGCGTGGCATTGGTCGAGAGCAGTCATGATCTCTTCGCAGTCTAATGGTAGGTTACGTTAGTGGGCTGGGCTGTCAATGCCCTGGATTTTTTGAAGACGCCGCATATGTGGATATAGAGGGTCACGTACTGATGTTATACGGGGTGTGAAGGTGAGAATGCATTTTGATCTGCGGTTATACTGCTTTTTCTTTGTCTTTGATGGTCGGTGTTTGAACCGAGTAGATCGTCTTGATCTCCGTCGGGGACTTTCTCATAGTTTGCCGAGAATGGGATGAAACAGATAGGCGGTGTATAATGCGGTAAGTACTTCTGCCTGGCGGAAACTGTCCCTCGCCAAAAAAAAAAAAAAAATCTACAGAAACAGGAAACCAAAGGTTTTGGAGGGGTGAATTGAAGACCATTTTTACTTTTGGGGAGCTCTTGATTTCAGCCCAGGCTTTTCCTTATATCGATACGGGAGTGTGCCCCCGTGTAGAGTACATTTTTCTTTTCTCCTTTTTCATTTTTTTGATTTGAGAATTTGTTTTTTATATTCGTTTTAACGATGTCTATGATCACTACTTCCGCGTGGGTGCGGCGCGGCGTCGCGGCCCAATTCCCCACGAAATACGAAATTGATGAGAAGGAGATGGATCGCATATCGAAGCTGGCACGGATGCAGCTGGAAGATGCACAGGAGGATCTGAATGCGGCCCAGAGTAATGGCGACTCTGGGAATAAGGATGATGATGCGATGGAGGAGGACGATGCGGAGGAGAAAGGCGAGACAAAGGATGCATCTAAAAAGAAGACGTGGGTTTACCCTTTCTGCCGGTTGGTTGGTATCGGTGGGAGCTAACTGGGATGAAACAGTGACGACGATGACGATTTAAAAGAGTACGATCTCGATCACTACGATAGCGACGAGGTGGATGAGGATGGCGAAAAAACCACCATGTTCGGCAATGTGAAGTCTTTAGCATACCACGAGCCCAACGAAGAGGACCCCTACCTAGTCGTTCCAGAGGAAGAAGATGATGAGGAGCGGGAGGAGCTACAGATCCTTCCTACAGATAACTTGCTGCTGGCGGGTAAGGTCGAGGATGAGGTGGCTCACCTTGAAGTCTACGTTTACGAGGATGCGGCGGATAACCTCTATGTGCACCATGATATCATGCTGCCCGCCATCCCTTTGTGTGTGGAATGGCTGGACTTCCCTGTTGGGAAATCTGCCGATAACGCTACCACGACAGGAAATTTTGTCGCCGTGGGAACTATGGAGCCTGATATTGAAGTTTGGGATTTGGATGTTGTGGATTCCATGTACCCCAATGCCATTCTCGGCCAGGGCGGTGCGGACGCGGAAGGTGACGCCAAAAAGTCCAAGAAGAAGAAGAAGACCAAGGCGAATGATGAGTTCCACGTTGACTCTGTTCTCGCCCTTGCTGCCAACCGGCAACATCGCAACCTCCTAGCTTCCGCTTCGGCCGATCGTACGGTCAAACTTTGGGACTTGAACACAGCCAAAAGCGCAAAATCATACAGCCACCACACAGACAAGGTGTGCTCTCTAGACTGGCATCCAAAGGAGTCCACCGTCCTTCTCAGTGGTAGCTACGACCGCACCATCGTCGCCGCGGATATGAGGACCCCCGATTCGAAGGCACGATGGGGCGTGGACGCCGATGTCGAGACTGTGCGCTGGGACGTGCACGATCCTAACTATTTCTACGTTACAACCGACGGCGGTATGGTCTACCGGTACGATATTCGAAACGTGCCTGCCACACCCAAGGACTCCAAGCCAGTATGGTCCTTGCAGGCGCACGACTCCTCCGTGTCTTCCTTCGATATCAACCCGGCCATCCCCGGCTTCATCGCCACGGGTTCCACCGACAAGCAAGTTAAGCTGTGGAATGTCGAGAACGATAAGCCTAGCATGGTTGTCTCTCGGAAGCTGGAAGTGGGCAAGGTCTTCTCGACTAACTTTGCGCCGGATTCTGAAGTTGGGTTCCGCCTGGCGGTGGCGGGAAGCAAGGGCTCTGTTCAGATCTGGGACACCTCAACCAACGCGGCAGTGCGTCGGGCCTTCGTCTCCCGCATGCCGTCTCTTCAGGGCGATGTACAAGAACGTATGGTGGGTATGCAGCCCGATCAGGATGAGTCCGATGATGATGGTGCGCCTGAGACTGGTGCTGCGGGAGGCGCGGATGGCTGGGAGTCAATGGATGAGGATTAAAGTGTCTAAATCTGGAAATACATTAAGAAGCGCACAGGCCACTGATGGCTATATGAGAATATTAGATGGATTTTTTATATAGCGTACTCGACGAGCCGTCAGTTAACGTGCAATGAAAAGTTGAGATACCCATTACTCAGAGCCCTGACATCCTAACGCCACTACTAGCGAGTATCCCTCATCAACTTACTGTCAATTTCCTGCAAATAGCATCATTAATGTTCTCGCCGTGAACCAAAACTTCACGCAGTATTAGAGATACTCAGACTGCGATCTGCATAATGGTTTCCCTTTATGAGGGTTGAGTATGAAGCCTGGGCCCTCGGGAAATCAAAACCGTGCGATCGCAATAATGACTACACCGTCCAGTGAAATAGCTAATAGCCTCTCAATAGTTCACAATAGTATTATGACGTCGAGAAACACTTTGGATGTGTCCTCGCGGATATATCCTGTCGTGTCTACTTATAGCACTCGGACCGTGCAGTCACTTGGAAGTTTGCTGTCGAGCACCCAGGTCTCGAACGGGAACGGACTTCGACCCGTGGACTGGACATCTGGACGTATCACCCGCCAGTCCTGTCCAGCTGCATGGACCATTTGCTAGATGCGTTGTCCCTCCAGCGATCTCGACAGCAGTTCTTTCCATGTCACCACTGTCTCAGCGGACTCTGACGAAATACGGCTTTTGCAAATGTATTGATCCCGACAGTCCAGTCGACGCCGTGGACAAACGGTGGGTTTCCACGGTCGGCCCCACGAGAGTGGGGGAACGACTGATCTGGCCAACATTGACAATTATTGGACCAAGTCGACCAGGTTCGGGATGAATTGTGTCCAGACAACAGAGCAGATGACGCCGAGCGCTTGTCCTTTTTTGTAGTCAAGGTCTGTTGTGTTTAAAATCGTCGATGCGATCGAAAGTACCACGATCCCTCACATAGAGGCGATTTCCTCTCCGAAATGGATGCAACGTCCAAGGACCTGAGTTATCATTCTGAGACGAGTCGGCGGATAATCGCTGTTTCATTTCCCACTACTTGAGGCAGTCGGGCGTTTCTAGAGGCCACGGCGTTCCCGTTCCTGGCGCCAAAGCGAACCGGCGCGAGTGCAAGCACACCTTGGGCTGACCCGGCCGAAGATGACTGGTCGAAATTGATAGACTTTCATTTTCGTCTGACAAAGTTCAGCCAATTATAGCCTTAGATTCATGTTAGCTTTCAGGTCCTCACTCCATCCCATTCGACTCCTCAGGGTGACGATCGCGTCTGGAAGTGTGACAAGTTGACAACCGAGAGGCCCATGATTCCCACATCGGCAGTATCAGCTGGCCCTGTCTTCTGGTTTTTGCCATCGGAGAGGTGGCACTTGGTCGCCATGTAAAATTCGCCGGGAGAAAGGAGGGTCTAGGTTCAGCCTTAAAGCGAACCGTGGACTCGGAATAGTAGACGACCGTGGTTCCTCGTTGAAAAACTGAAAACCGCTCAGTCGAACCAAACTCAAGGCGAGCAAAGGACCCTTGGGCGTCAGATTTTTCGTCTGGTTCGGGCGTTCGGATTGGAGAACGTGGGAAGCGTGGGCAAAAGTAAGGACAAAGATCGCGGTTCGACGGGCAGTGAGTGGCCCGACTGGGGGCACGGAGAGTGCACTTGCGCAGATTGCCCAGACCCTTTGGCCTCCATCTCGTGTTCTTCACCCGTCGCCTCCCTCGCTTTCTTCCCTCCTTCTCTCCTCCAGGTTCCGTCCTGGATTCCGTCTTCTCTCCTTTCCATTCTCCAGTCCTTGATCGGAGTGTCCTAGATTCTTTCCTTCTCTAGGTGCTGGTCCTTGGGTTTATATTCTTCAATTCTCTTCTTTCTCTTCGGCGAGTCCTGGTTGTCCGCCCAGATCTTCACTGTACAATCTTGCGCTGCTGCAGCAACTCGACACCCCTTGAGTTAGGCAGCCTCCCCCTCTTCGGAGAACGACTTAAAACTTTCATTGAATCTCTTCTGCTGTGCAAAGAGAAAAAAATACGGAACTCCATTCCTGCGCTCATTCGTTGACTCATCGAAAGCCATACCATTTACGAGACTACGTACGACTCTATCTGATAACGGATAGCCGTTGATAGATCTTCCATTCTTTACGAATCCCCACTCCCGCGATCGTCCACCGCACATTCTTGGTCTCCCCGCTAAGAGAACGTCAATACAAAAGTGTCGAAAACGATCTATTGGGTGCCTCTAAAAATAGGAAATACTCGACAAGCAATCTAAAATAGCGCACGAAAGGAAGCATATATCACTCGGCCTGTTCCGAAACTCGATGTGTTAGGGATTCTCGACTTGACCCCATCGCATAGTATATTCGCAGACTTTCACAATGTCAACTCTCACTCGGGCGTTTACCAAGCGCTCCAAGCGCGTTGAGGTGTCTTCGCCAATGCCCTACCGTGAAGGCCAGCCGAAGTTCTCCTCCGGTACGATAAAGCGAGGCAAGATCTCTGGGCCGGTAGAGCTCCTGTCCACGACAAATATGCTTGCCTACAATGCCCCGGATCTCAACTCGGCGTCTTCTTCCTCCACTTCGTCATTACAATCGCCCGACGACTCGGAACTTTCATTCACTCAACACGGCATCACCTCGCCAGTTACTTCACCCGAAGAATCGCCAATTGAACCAAATCCACTTTCAGGATATTTCCCAAAACGGTCCGCGACCTTAACAAGCCATCCGCGGTCGTCCTCGTCAACGACATCCTCCAATGATGCCCCAATGATCCCTAGACGTGCACTCTCTCACACCAAACGAACACACCAGGAGGTAGCGCGACAGCGCTCCATGAAGCGCATGTCCCCTCCACCACTACACGCGAATCGCTCTAATACTTCTGCCCAACCATCTTACGATGACTATAATGCCGAGCCACATCCGTTCGGGAAGGAGCTGGAGCAAGTAAGCGAAGTGGTTGAGGAGTTTGGAGGTGCCCCTCTGTTTGATGAGGAAGAGCGGATCTTGCACAGTAAGGGATTGAAGAAGTATTCGGTGAACGACTATCTTGTGGAGATCGAAGACCTCTATGGTAGTATCTTCGACGATCGGCTGGGCCCGATAGCTTCCACATCCTGGCTATGAAATATCAAAAGCCAAAACGTCTTTCTACTCCTGCGGAGAGGAAAGGCTCGATGTCCGGCCTTTCCGCCGATGTCATACATTTCACGACCAACCAATTTTCACTCCTTTACGACCTTTCACCTATTGCTGCTTTCGATTGCTGTTCGCTATATACCACGGGAGGTATTGCTACGGAACAATATCTCACTTTTCGCCTTTGTGTTTTTTTGTGTTATCTCTATTTGAGATGTGTTATGGGTACTATACACTGGCTATGGTAGCGGACGCTTCAAACTGAAGAGAATTAGTTAGTCCTAGTTTTAGAATTATGAATGGAAATTCAGAAAACAATCAACTACCTCCTTGAAGAATGCTATATAACCGCAATAGGCAATTTGTAGGGTTCAATCGCGTTGATCACGCGCTGGTCACGGGCATTGCGGCCTCAGGCTCCACTTATTGCCCCACAGAAAAAAAAATCCATGGAGTCCACTTTTGTTTCTCCGCTTCAAGATCCTTGACCTCAAGCAACATCTTGCTCTCCTCCTTCGACTTTTCACGCCTATTCCATAGTCTGCCATCATTTTCCGGTTGACGCACGAGAGTAGAGTTCCTAAATCCTCGACTGTGATGGACCAGCTTATGAGGCTCCTCCCTGTGCATTCTTCCTTTCAAAGCGCTTAACCTTTGTAGCCACCGCGTTGTCGTGTGCTTGGTTTCCATTCTTATTGTTTGGCAGTTGGAGTCATTTAAAGCATCAAATGTTTCAGTTGCAGGCACTGCATTTGTTTTCTCAAAAAGTTTAGATTTTGATCAACTGTGTTATTACCCATGGTCTCCCTCTTCAGCGGCTCGCGTGGCCCAGCGACGGGACCACATACACCTTCAAAGATGATAACAACGTCTTCACCAGCGCCCATATTGAAGAACTCTAAGACACCAAACTCCGCCGCCGGAGTAAAGCACAGGATGGAGGAAATGGACCTGTCGCTTTCGCCCGCATCCTCCATTGCTGATGATGCAGATGGCCAGCCTAGTCCTCGGAAAAAAGCTCGCGTGCAGTTCGACGAAGACGTGGAAATGCGAGAGATTCCATACAGCAATAAGGTACAAAATGGGAGCCATGGAACAACGGACAAGAGCGCCGCTGTGGTGCGAGAGGAAGTGCGGCGGGCGATTCAACGGCATGTCTCGGGCGGCGATAGTGAGGCCTACGACCGAGTCAAGGAGATCTTCGCGACCAGCCCCCTGCGCCAGGATATGAACGGCATGCCACCAACAAATGTACCTACCCACAATACATTGAAACATCATCTTATGGGCCTTCTCTCGAATGTGGCAGCGCTGGATCGGAGCTGCAGCGGGTTAGTGAGTGCAGTACTGGGCAGCGAGTGGCTCGGGCGGGACGAATCGTACGTCAAACTGTACATTCGGTTCTTGGGTAACCTTGCTGCCGCCCAAGGAAGTTATCTGGCATCTGTGCTGAAGATGTTGACCAACTATATGGGTGAACTCCCTAAACGCACCGGGGGGCTGCCGGGGTATCCCCATGTACATCCCGCCGAGGCTTACACCCGCGTTCATATGGCCCTGCGTCACGTCATGCAGCTGGTCCCGTCTGGAAGCGGGTCTCTATCACCCATAATATCGACTCAGTTCCCTTTCGATACCGATTCAGCAAAGGCCAACATCGCCTATACACAAAACCTTGTCAGGGTTATCAGATATGCTCCAGAACTCCAAGCCGACATCCTAGCTCTCATTACCGAGAAACTGGTTAAGATTGACGTTCAAATTCAAGTGGATATGGAGGATCTCGAGGACGAAGAGGGCGAGGACGTCCTGCACGACATCTCGCCAGAGGCCGTGATGTTCGCCGAGGACTTGGACGACGATGACGACGACAACGCCTCGGTGATGAGTGACGAGTCTGTCGAGGAAGAATCCCGACGATTAAAGTCAATCAAGGAGAACATTCTCAAGCTTGACGGCATGATTGATACTCTGTTTGAATATTATTCACCACCCTTCACATCAGGCACTCTCGACGACCAGGAGAACGCCCTCGACCTCTTACTGAGCCATTTCCAAACCATCATCCTCCCTACCTATCGCTCCCGTCACTCACAATTCCTCCTCTTCCACTTCTCCCAATGCTCCCCTGTCCTTGTTGATCGCTTCGCCGCCACATGCGTTCAGCTCATCTTCAACAAAGCGCAACCCGCCATATTGCGCCAATCCGCCGCTGCCTACCTCGCCAGCTTCGTCGCGCGAGGCGCTCATATCTCCAGCGAAGTCGTCCGCGACGTCTTCGACCTCCTCGGCACACACCTAAATACCCTCCGCCTAGATTACGAACCCTCTTGCCGAGGGCCTGACCTCCGCCGCTTCGGGCCCTTCTACTCTACCGCCCAAGCCCTCCTCTACATCTTCTGTTTCCGCTGGCGCGACCTCACAACAGCCGCCATCGACGGTGACACACCCGAGCAAATCGACGATCTCGAACCTGAAGACATCATCTTCCCCCCTTCCATCCGAGACGTCCTCCACAAAGCTATTCTCTCCAAACTCAACCCCCTCAAAGTCTGCTCGCCAGCTATTGTCTCCCAATTTGCCCGCATGTCCCAACACCTCAACTTCATCTACGTCTTCACTATCCTCGAAACAAACAAGCGCCTCCGCATGTCTACATACCGCAACCTTGCTGCTCTTTCAGACCCCCGATTCAGCCAGGTTGAGCGCGAAACCCGCGCCGGCGATGATCTCGGCTACCAGCTCGATGCTTATTTCCCGTTCGACCCTTACCAGCTGCCGCGAAGTCGGCGATGGTTAGAGGGTGATTATGTGAATTGGCGTGGGATTCCTGGTCTTGATGACCGGGATGATGATGATGACAGTGATGAAGCGGAGTCGGATGAGGACGAGGACGATGACCTGAGTGATGGCACTGAAACGGATCATGAATGAATTGAAATATAGCTATACCGTCATGTCATAACATACGTATTATGTGATATCAGAATGTCGGCAAAAAAAACATTGGAAATATATATGATGACATATTATGACCTTCTATTTAACCTAATATATCTTCCATAGTAATGATAGGATATGAAATCTACACAAGAGCTATGTAACCTCGGAAAGAATATCAAACGAATATATAAGCATTAAACGAATTTAGCCGCAAAGAATAATGAGGTGAGGGTAATAAAAAAAAGGGGTAGAAAGGAAAACAAAACAGACTATCTTTATGTACAATTGAAAATCAACAACTCGAAGCAGACCAGAAGTGTAATTACCTCGTCAACAAACCGCTCCTCAACGCTGGAGCTTCAACGCCAATGATGTCCCCATTCCCCTTGTCAACAACAAACACGAACTTATCTAGACCAATTCCGCCGTACGTCATCCAGTCCACTGTTTGCCATGAACCACAGTATTGCGTGGCGGTATTCTGGCCTGGGAGGTCAGACATGAGTGAACTGCCGAGGGGGATGATGTCGAAATTGATGCGCCATTCCTGACGGACAAGCTGTGCGCCGCCGGTACTATTCTTATAGTCATGACTGCGTTGATGGCGACGGTGCCGTGCAATCAGTGCAGAAGCCTCTGAGGCTGGAACGGGTGTCTCCAGATCCGTAGGGTAAAGCCGGAGCTCATCAGGGAGGATGCCGATTCCGAGGGGTAGGAATTCGGCAGTCCAAATGGTCTTAATTGCGTCGATGATAGAGTTGTTGCCACGGGTGAAAGAAGTGAGTTTTAGGCCTGTGCCGTCGTCCATGTCGAGTGTAAGCTTCACTTTTTCGGTGCTGGAAGCGTTTTTCGACGATGAAGGGTTTGAAGTCCAAGTTCCAGTTAGTCGCCGGGCTTGAGATCTTGCTTCCTCCTCAACTGCTGGGAGGAATGTCCCTAGAACAGCGCGGTAGAGGATATCCAGTGAGTCCACGGGGCCAGCTGTGAGAACAGCAACGCCGATGCCGTACTGGTCTATGGCGGCAATTTGCGCCATGTAACCTATTGCGCCGCCGGACTTTCCATATATGTCGACAATGTGGGCGTGCTTGGGAGGAAGAACGTCTCTTGTGCGGAGAATCTCCCATGGTCGTCCGACGAGAGTATTGAGGGAGCTGGTGGTAGACCGGGGCTTGAGCCAATGGCGCACATCCGCAGGGGTGTCGAGGATGCTCTTGTTAAGGACTGTGCTGAGGAACGTACTTATGTCATTGGTAGAGGAGTACAGCCCGCCACCACTGGTAACAATATTAGCTGGGTTTTCCCCCAGCAGGGTGCTGAAGTTTAAGGGGAAAGACACTTACGGGGCGTTGAATCCGTAGTCGGTCCCCCAGCCGTTAGCTCCTGGAGGAATGACTGCTCTCTCTGTGTTTCCTGGAGACACGCCAGAGTTGACAAGGTTCAAGGGCTTATAGATTGTCTCGTCTAGCATCTGGGAGTAGTTCATGCCGGTGTGGGCCTCGAGGCATAGAGTGAAGAGAGTAAACGAGAGCTGGGAATAGATAGGCCGCGAGTTTATTGGGACGACCTGCTCTTTCGAGAGGAGGTTTTGAATCAATTCTGGAAATTGTTAATACACCCACTTTCTTAATGCACGGTTGAAAGACGTACGCTCTTTAGTACAGCCATCATTAAGCCCGATAACCCCACAGTCAGGGTAGACAGAGTCATTAAGATGCGGTAGCCCCAGACTTTCGTGGAAGGAATTGAGGAAGTAAAATTCGTAGAATACTAAATCAATCAATGCTCAGGTCCAAACTTTCGAAGAGAAAGAGACAATCTCACCATTGGAGGGGACGCCTGCCAGATGATCAACCAGCATTTCCAGCGTAATGTCCTCCCACGGAATCTTGGACTTGCTTGATCGTAACTGCGGCAAGAAGTTTGTAACGGGCGATTGCAGATCGACACCGGACTTGAGCACCATCAGATCCGAGAATACCTTCGATACCGAACCGATCAGGTACTGCGAATCTCCGTCGATTTTGGAAACACCCTTTTCGTTATTCTTTCCCCGGTGGTGGTATTCCCAGAAAGGTTTCACATCATCTTCGACCCCGGAGGGGCCGTAAGGGGAGACCAAGGCCAGAGAAAAGGAGACATTCTCGACAATCCAGCCAGCCTTAATCTCGCCATTTATGGCGGAGTTTAGCTTGCTGGAGAGGTTGTTTGCTGCATCTTTAATGTGTTTTGAGTTGGCCAGATCGGTTGGGCGAGGGAGAAGAGGGCCATCTGGGGGGCACCCAGTGTAGGAGGGAGAGGGAATAAGATCAGGTGGTGATGGGAGCTGGGCAGACGAAGCTGTGAAGAAGCCCGCGACGGCTAACAAGGAGAGGATCTGCATCTTGATGGCGACCGTTGACCCTGGGATTCTCATCCGCACTCATTGTAGCCAAGGAAGGGGGTTGGTTTATATAGATATCTGCACGGCATATTGGCTCAACCCCATGACGCAGTGCAGCGTGCATGCAGTCTCCAGCATGAACCCAAACTGAGAAGAATCCTGACATCTCATTGGCATGCTGCAAATATCAGGAGGCGCCTGAAGACATGGCGGTTCTACGTTTCCGCATTCGGCAAGTGTCGTATTCGCGACGGCGAAAAAAAGGGCTGCCAAGTCTGGGGATCGCCTTTAAATTGACGGCAAATACGAGCTGATCGCCGCCTTGAGCATGATCAGCAAAATGGGGAATACGATCGTATTCGGTAGTCAACGCTTGCTTATTACTGTACAGAATATGCCTCATTGCTCAAGTCCCAAGTGGCCAGTCTAACCTGAACGCCATGCCAATAAATGTGCCAGCAAGAATCTCTAATAGTAAACAAAATGTAAACACAATCAAACCAACCAACAAACCAGCAACGCGTAGTTAGCAATCATCACTGCCCAAAGATGGTCTTCATGTCTGCGCAAGCGTCTTGGTAGAGGATATTCACGTCCCTGGTGTCCCGGAACGGATTAGGTGACTTGTCCCAAGCGTGCCGTGCTCCTTCGATCATCATTGCGCGCACATGTTTGTTGATATTTAACAGCCGGCGGACAAACTGTTGGCCCTCGTTCAGCAGCATATCCCACTCGCAGATATAGAAAAATATATCGTGCGGTAACGAATCGCGCAATGCCTCATCGGTGGCGTGCACAGGCGACGCATATGGCGACCGACGCTCCTCGAGATCTGGTAGGTAAGCTTCGTCAAACAGATCGGTGAAGAAAGCCGGGAGCGTCTTGTCGGGATTGATGCTCATTGCACGACGGTGCTCACGGGGCTCATCAAAGTCGAGGATGGGATACCAGCAAAAGAGCGCAACAATATTGAGCTCGGTGGCGGTTGCATCCACGAGTTGATGAGTCGAGTCGGCCCGACTTAACCAGCGCTCATGCTCGGCCTGCAGGAGAAGGTCACGGTACCGCAGGGGCACCGTGACAGTCAAATTTCCACCAGCGGAGAAGCCGCTGATGGCAACGCGAGAGATGTCAAGACCTAACTCCTCGGCGTGTTTGGATAAATACTGAAGAGCCAGGACGCCGTCATCAACGGCGGCCGGGAACGGATGTTCGGGGGCCCGGCGATAACCAACACTAACCACGACGGCCCCAACTTCGGATAACACGGCTTGCGCCCATCGCGAATCGTCAGTCGGGCCTCCGAGTGTAAAGCCGCCTCCGTGGAAGTTTACGACAACCGGAAGCCGGCGGCCGTCCTTGCGACCGCTGTAGTAGCCCGATGGGCAGTAAAACTGTAAGTTGACCCTGGAGGATCCAGACGGGAACGAGCGGGAGAAAGTCACTCTCGGGGGACGCGGAGGGGGAATATTATGAAAGAACATGCCCAGACGCATCAGAAAGCGCCAAAAAATGGCCTGCACGTACAGCCACCAGCGAGAAGCCATGATAGCGACACCGTGCAGGTGGATGCGGGGGGCGGCAAGCGGGAAAAAAAAGCAGTAGAGATAGGCAAACGTCTTATGAAGCCAACAGCCAAGGATCACAAAACGAGTAGAATTTGGACAACGGGTACCTGACACCCGGCCTTGAAAATCAGAAATGGCAGATCGGACAGAGAATGGAATTTAATAATGGAGAGAAAGAAGGAGAAACGAGAGCGATGCGCGATGAGGAGGCAAGATGAGGCCGCAGGGTGGTGCAAGCCAAGCGGGCTGGACGGGTCTCTGCGGAGAAGTCAACCCGGCTGAGGCTTGTATACGACCGAGGGCGCCAAGCGATTGTCCAATTGTTACATGAGAGATGGAGGATTTCAAGGAGCAACGAGAGCGCGTCCCTGGATGGAGGGAGTAAATAGCTGGGAGTAATGATGATGTCGGCCTGGCGAAATGCTACAACTGAATTGACTGGAGCGGCTCCCGGATTCTTCCCAATTCCCTTTGTATGACATCACGCCCTGCCCTGGAATTTTCCACCATAACGTCCCGGCCTAAGGCGGAGATCGCATTTTGTTTCTTTATAAGCTCTTGGCCTTCTATTCATGTCTAGCTCTTGATCCTCCTCTCTGGGTATCCAAGACGCTGACCAAGAACCATTGGACTCGCTAACTAATCGAGTCCCTCCCATTCCAGACCCGGCCGGCCAGCCCCTCATTTATTCTTCTTTTGCCTCTTTCCTCACCCTCCTTCTCCTCGCACTCCTATGCTTGACCCCAGCCCATAATCCTCAAGCTGCCAAGATGTCCATCAAGCGGGCATTGTCCAAAATCAAGCCGAAACTTGAAGATGCCTCCCTCCCCTCGCTACCCGGCTCCAAGGGCTCCGGCTCGTCCAACTCCCGGACCGCCTCCCCTCGCCGTAACATCCTTAGCAGTTTCCTTCGTGACCGGGACTATGCTTCCTCTTCCGAAGAGGTCTCGGATGATTCCTTGCCCACTGCGGCCGGCGCAATGAGCAAGAACCAGCAGAAGCGTCTCGCCCGCCGCCAGAGGAAGAGCGAGCAACGCTCTCGGATGAGTGAGGATATTGGTTCATCCGAGTCTGAGCGCCGCCACAAGGAAGAAATCAGCAAAGCGATTCATGAAGAGACCCCGGAGATGAGAGGTCGGTATGGTGACTTGCCCCTGCTGCAGTCGGGTTCCCGAGAACGAGAACAGCGCCTCGATTTTGACAACATTTCCGCGGACATGGTTGGACAACAGGTATTTTTTACAGCTAGATTGCACATAATCCGCCGAATGAGTGCGAAGCTGGTTTTCTTGGTCTTCCGACAACAGCTGTCAACCTTTCAGGGAGTCCTTCACGAGACACCTGGTGTGAAGTCCATCGCTATGGTCCAATGGGCTGAGCATTTGAGGACCGGGTCGATCGTCCGGGTCCGCGGCACCATCCAAGCTCCTGACGTTCCCGTCTTGGGGTGTACGGTTCATGATGTTGAAGTTTCCATTGATGAGGTTCATCTTGTCGTGCGCCGTGAGGACCCTGTTCCCTTTAGTATCTATGAGGCAGAGATACGCACTCCGGAGGAAGACCTGGTCGAAGGCCGTCGCAGCCATATTTCGGACCGCACCCGCCTGACAAACCGTTTGCTTGATCTACGAACACCCACCTCTCAGTCTATTTTCCGAGTACAGTCCGCCGTTGGCAACCTCTTCCGCACCGCTCTGGATGAGCGAAGCTTCATAGAGATCCACACACCGAAGCTACAAGGATCCGCAACGGAATCTGGTGCTAGCGTCTTCGAAGTTAGCTATTTTGGGCGCGATGCTTTCCTGGCACAGAGCCCTCAGCTTGCCAAACAAATGGCCATTGCAGCAGATTTCGGTCGTGTGTATGAGATCGGAGCGGTTTTCCGCGCGGAGAACTCCAACACCCATCGTCACCTGACAGAGTACACAGGCCTTGATATTGAGATGGCCATTGAAGAGCACTACCATGAGATGCTGGAAGTGCTAGATGGAGTGATCAAGAAAATCCTGGAAGGCATCTATGGGCGTTTCCGCCGAGAGATCGAGATCATCAAACATCAATTTCCCTCCGAAGACCTTGTTTGGCTCGAGGAGACCCCGATCATTAAATTTGCGGACGGCATCAAGATGCTCAACGATTCAGGATGGCGGGATGATGAAGGCAACCCGCTGCCCGAAGACCAGGACCTCGGCACCCGAGACGAAATACGTCTCGGTGAACTAGTCAAGGAAAAGTACAAGACTGACTACTATGTTCTTGATAAGTTCCCTATCGATGCTCGTCCGTTCTATGCCATGCCCGATCCAAATGATCACCGGTACACGAACTCGTTTGATATGTTCATACGTGGTCAAGAAATCGTATCTGGTGGCCAACGTATTCACGACCCTCACATGCTGGAAGAAAATATGCGTCGAGTGGGTATCAATCCGGACTCGATGGAGGAATACATGGAGGGTTTCCGCTGGGGTGCACCACCACACGCAGGCGCCGGAATTGGTCTGGAGCGGATGCTGATGCTGATTCTGAAGTTGGGCAATATCCGTCTTGCATCCCTCTTCCACCGCGACCCTAAGAGCTTCCCCGCCAAACCCGCCACCCTCCAGTTGCGACACCCAGAGTCGTCGACTGTCGACCCGCCTTGGGTTAAGGAGAAGAGAGGCGCGATAGCGTCGAGCGAAAGTGACCTGCAGCCGATGGAGCATTTGATCGCCAATTATGGCGATGCTACTTCGACGTCTTGGGGCGACGAGCGCTTTAAAATCTGGCGTGACATGGCCACTGGTGCTGCAATCTCTTATGTAGTCAGCAGCAACAATTACGTTGTGATCCCGGGTAACCCTTTGTGCGACGCCAGACAATATAATCGGATCATTAGTCAGTTCTTACAATGGCTACGCCGTGAAACGAAGTACAAGCCAATCTGGCTTCTTTGCTCTCCGGATGTCGAGGCTGTCCTCGGAGAGAAACTCGGCTGGCGCAGCTTGTCCTGCATTGCTGAAGAAGTGGTGGAACCCTCTCGCAACCAAGCCGCTATGGACGGAGAGCTTGCTCGAAAGATTCGACGCACCGAGAACGAGGGGATCAAAATCATAACTCAGAACCAGGGCGAAATGGTGCCCGATAGCGTTCGTGAGGCGATCGATAAACGGATTCAAGATTGGAAGGAGAACCGCAAGGGCACGCAAGTGCATCTTTCGGAGATCCATCCATGGCGCGACCATGAGCACCGTTGGTACTTCTATGCGGTCGACAAAGAAGGGACAATCTGTGCTTTTGTCGCCCTAGTTCTGATCTCGCCTACCTACGGGATGCAGGTGAAGTATACTTTCGACTTCCCAGGCTCTCCGAACGGCGTTATCGAGTCTCTTATCACCCATGCTATCCAAACCGCAGGCCACAGTGGCGCTAAAAAACTCACATTCGGCGCCGGTGCAACCACAACCCTTACCCCAGGCCACAACATGCATGGCGCAAAGATGAAGATGCTCCAACATACGTACGACGCCCTCGCAAAGCAATTCCACCTTGTCCGGAAGAGCGAGTTCCGTGCCAAACTTGGCGCCGTGGATGAGCCGCTCTATATCGCGTATCCTCCTCATGGTCTCGGCCAAAGAGGTATCCGAGCCGTTCTTCACTTTTTCGAAGATTGATCCTCGGTCTCAGTATAGTGCCATGTTGGCTCTGGTTTATTTTGTGGGTTTCTTTATACCATTTTTGACTTAGGTGGTATTGATATAGAGCGGTTTTGGATACCTTTGGTTTATTTGCGGTCACTCCTCTAATCTATTCCCCCATTTGTTAGTCGTTACTGTTCCGAACTGGATGACATATGCACCACCTCCTCTCAATGTCTATGCCGTGATGAATATATAATACACCATGTATGATTTTGGACTATATAGATGCCTTATGTTCCTATGTTCTTATGTTTTGAAAATGGAATAATAATGTCGTTCGTATGTTCTATTAGATCATGATACTATAGAAAATACTTTGTGGCATTCGTAGTCTCATTATATGGCGATTCGAGAAGTCCTCTGACAATCGTCGTCATCCTACTGACCCTTCTTAACATCCTGAGGATTACGAATGTCCGTCGAGTTTACCGCTCTCATGAAATCCCTAGAAATCCATCTCGCTACAATAATACTCACACATGCAACTACACTTACCCAGCACGCCGTGGGCACGAGACTTTTCGGAAACACATTTCCTAAAAATGGATCAAGGATAACATCCGCCAGAACCGGCGGCACTTTCTCCATTAGTGTCTGGTCAAGCGAGAAATAATCCGCCGCCGCAGAAATCCGGAGAAATAGCACTGAGTCCGCACTTGGTTCCGAATCCGCAACAGCGGAACGGTCTCCCCGGCGTATAGGCGTTGTTACCGCTTGCGGTGGGGACGCTGCAAGTTGCGAGGACGAGTAGAGGCTTATAGCGGAAAGGAGGGCCCGATCTTCTAGTATTTCGGGGAGGGTATACGTGGATAATGTGAATGCGGTTGGTTGCTGGAACCAAATAATTAGTTCAGACTCAAAAGATAACAAAGGTTGGGCGGTTGCGAAAGGAAGGGACGTACAGTAGCCAGCCAGCAAATGCGCACCTCATACCGCTGTCCTGGGCTGAGGTTTTCGAGGAAATACCATGAGTCCGTGCCCTGACTCTCAGAAACTGTTGGGAACGAGGCATTAAGGTGTGTTCGCAGCATGCCATTTGAAGGAGAGAGGCGCTCGAGGCCTAGGTCATCGAAGGCTGGGTCCTTGGCGGGGAGGGTGACTGCGGAGGGAGCGATGAAGATGGTTTTCTCCACGTTGGCGCTGGCAACGCAGAGGAGCGATGCGAGGTAAATGTATAGAAGGAGCACCATCTTGCAAGGCTGTTACATAGCTTGCTGCGGGTTTTGTGCAAGGGATCGATTGGCTCAATGTCTCATTGAGACAGAGCTCGGAGAAAATAGGCAGTTGTGAGCTATATGG